ATATGTACAGTATTATAATTCTGCCATGGTCATTTAATTTGTACATAGATGAAAGTTATGGCAACTCATGCGAACAGTTTATGGAAAATAATGGAATGACGCGATTTGTTACGTGCATTGATTTATTTCCAAACGATCATGGTAAAGCTTTTACAATATAATATAAATATACAGTATTCCCATTACTTTGAATTTGAACTAAGTAATTTAATGTATCTATTTGTGTAGATTTATTATTTGTTATATTTGGTACTTTATCAAATATTTCTGAATGTGACCGGGTTAATGAGAAACTCATTGCTAACGACTACATTCAACGAATGGTAAAACATTTAAATCAACAAACTTACGGCTATACCATATATGGGTTCGTAGCGGATATACTAACAAATATAGGTAATATATATTGTTTATTAAATTTTGTAGTATATTCATTAATATTGTTTATTTATAATAGCTGCCATTGATACTACTCAATGGCCTGAAGATTTGCCTGGTGAATGCAAACGTGATTTTGTTCTTGGCAAAATAAAAACAGAAATATCTGCTTGGAAAATTAATTTCGATTTATGTTTCCAATTTAAGTAATATTCAATGAACTGATTGCACGCTAATTTAACTATATAAACCGTATATATTATTTTTATTATAGTTCCTTGACACCTTTAATAAAATTATTAAAACCTAATATTCCGTCAGATTGCTATATATTACCAGTTTGGAGATTGGCTAACTGTACCAGGGTTGAAAGTATGTTGATAATTGTCTTGTTGGCTATTAAGATTGTAATTATAATCCTTTTTGAACTTGTTACATTTAGGTTCACAGTACTGTCCAATGTTAGAAAGGGAGGGTGGGCTACAAGTATTGGCGGATTTAATTAAGAGGTCAGATGTGACGCGAGATATCAAAATGTTAGCAGTCTTAACATTATACCAGTGCGAGTTGGCTACAACTGACCATGATGCAAGTGTTAAACTTAAATCAAGCGAGAGTACACAGGTACCTGTGCAATTTTTGCAACGCAAGCAAATGATAATTTAATTTATGTTTGATTAAAAATTTAAAATTATTAATAGTTGCATTGTTCATTCAAAAATACTTATAAAAATGTAGTATGATTTAGATAAAACTTATAATTTACTAATTTCTATTAAGTATAATATCACATAATCACATCGACATAATTATTTGCTGTTTTTAATTATTTGTTTTCAAAGCCTTTCAATTGACTTTAATTCATGAACACATTATTTGTTGCTATAAATTGCTTTTAAATTTTGTATTTTGATTCAAATATTTGTAAAGACTATTATAAAAACTAATTTGCTTTACAATGTAAAATTTACATGTGTTGTCTCACATAACATACCGTATAACATGTATGAAATTTTAATTATAATAAAATTTAAATGTTTTTATAATTTTCTAAAACTGTAATATTAAAATGAAAATAAAATGTTAGCGAATATGATAATTGATTATGCTAATTGATACTTATATCAAATGTTTGTAATTTTATCTCCAGTTTTACCGTAAATTATATAACTGTATATAATATTCATGTTTTTTATAGTACAGATATCTATAAAAACATAATACTAATTAATTAATTTAGTTATAGAAACTAATGTTTATCACGAAATAAAAATTAATTAATACAAAATTAATCAAATACTTAAGAATAGTAATTAAAATATAACTGCATGATAATATTGTTTTATGTTAAAAATATAATTTCATTAATAAATAAATTTTATTCTTATCAATTTGCCACAAGTACAAACTTTGTTAGAAATATAAATGGATATGTTTTCAATATTATTAAAATGTTACTCGCAGTTAAATTAAGCATAACATAACATGCAATTAACCCAATAAAAAGTGCACCTGTAATTACCCATTAAATTTATTATATTCATTAATAGCTACAACAATTGTACTTAATATAAAAGTATATGAAATATCATACAAACTATTGTCGGGGCATTGAAGTATAATTTAAGTAAACTAAAATACATTTAAACAAGTTACTTTAATAATGCTGCTTTAATAATTTGTAACACAGACTTAAACGCCCAAACTATCATAAGGGGCGGCCCCCTGAGTGCCGGGGACTACAGGTCCAAACCCCCGCACATAACTCACGGGATCGTTATACTGCTCGGGCTGTAGACTAGTAGGCGGACAGTTATAGCTGTTGCACAGACCCCGACAACATCCCAGGCCATTGCTATTAGCTATACAGGGCGAGGGCCCCGGGATCTCCAGCAAGTCCCTGACACCCGACAAATAGCAACACCAACAGTACTGCTCAGTCAGCGCCCTATCATTAGCCAACCCAAAGGACTCATCCGCCGCCGGAAACTCAGTGTTGATATCCATATAATTCCTGTCATTAATGGAAATCCACTTAATTTTGGGACAATTTGTGATGAGTTTATTGACAGTGGTTTGCGTGAAGTTCTCTCTCCCATAGAGTCTAATGGTCTGTATTTTCG